GAATTCATTGGAATAAAAATAAAAATTCAAAATCACTATTTTCTTTGTATCAAATAATCAATTAAATTTGCTCTAAAATCTTTATTCATGTTTTGATTTAATTTACAATACAAAAAAGTCATAATAATCTAATGATCATTTTATTTTTTTAATTAATAAATGACAAAGAAAAGCATAGTATTTGAAATGGGGCACACATGTCAATTAAATAACATCGATCTTCTTAACAAACAAACGCATATAATGATGAGAATACATTGCATTTACATAATAATGAACAAAACTCACACCTCACACCCCTTCACTTCTTGATAAGTGCATTTAGCTCCCATCGACTTTAAAAACTTTTCTTTTCAACCCCTAACTTTTTCCAAGGTCATTTTGGTGTCACTAAAAGTATCTCTCGTCATGTCGTAGGATAAATTCATGAACAATAACTTTACAGTTAGACACATAAAATGGATCATTTTTTAAAAGGTTTAAACTCAAAGAAACAATTGTTTTTATGACATTATATCAGAATTTAAAAAGTTAATAGTGCTTAACGACTCGATAAATAACTGGTCGCACTGTATAATTAATGAAATTTGTATTGGACAAATGGATTATTGTGTGGTCAACTTTTTTAAAATCGAATAAAGAGTTATGTTTTGTTATTTTCTTAAAATTTTACTTTGTATGAAGGTTTTTGAAATATAGGGGGTGTGAGTGTAATTAACATATATCTTAGGGGTGAAAGTGATATATCATAAATTATTTATACCCCAGGAAAAACAAAATTTGCAGTTAGTCGGGTTGGTACGGTTAGCGAGAGGAAGTCCAAACCGAAGAACATAGAGCCAGACGACGGAGGTTAAGTGAAGAGATGAATGAAGAGACAGGGCACAGCCTCGATCCTACGATCTCCGCCGCCGTCTCTACCGGTCACGATGATGGAGGAGGAGAAGTCGACGCGGTGATGGCTGAAGTCGGTGGAGGAGGCGGCGGTGGTGCTGACAAGAAGAGCAAAGTTAGGGGGCCTTGGTCGCCGGAGGAAGACGTGGTTTTGAGTGAACTTGTGAGCAAGTTTGGGGCGAGGAATTGGAGCCTGATCGCTCGAGGTATCCCTGGGCGCTCTGGGAAGTCGTGCCGTCTGCGGTGGTGTAATCAGTTAGACCCTGCTGTTGAGCGCAAGCCCTTTACTGGTAAGAAAGAGCACTCCGCAACCTCGTTATAGAATATCAGTCTTAGCATTTTTCTTGGGATTCAGCGGTTATATATGTTAGTCAATTGATCACGTTTTTTCAACCATCGATGACGAATGCCGTTCCTTAGTAGGGTTTTTTGTTCTCTGTTTCACGCTGAAGTGATGATTCAGTTTCCGTGTCCTTGGTTGTGGTGTATGATACCCATAAATTAAGTAATGCCGTTTATTTGTGGGTTTACTCAAGTTGGGGATTGAGGCAGGCCGACTTCTAAGTTTTCTTGGTCCTTTAATGTGCGAATCCGGGAATTTAGCGTTGTTTGGGGACTATAGAATATAGCATACTTCAATTTGCAATCTAGGTTAAAGTATATTGGCCTTTGTCCCAATTGGTTGTGTGGCAGTGCTTATCATGACAATCTATCACACTACATAATCTACTCTGGTCGCTTAATCATTTCTGGATGGTTTAGTTATCATACATTTTGATTTTTTGTAGTTGCTTCGTATGATTTAGAAGTTTCTTAGTGTATTTAAGGCTAACAGAAAATTGGGGATGAACAAGAGTTAAGGAAATAAAATTACAGGAAAAGGAGAGATATAAAAAATTATAGGAAATCTCCATTCATAGAGAGCCGAAGGCAGTTAGTGACCATCAGTTCAGTGTGTTTTCAACACTTGTTTCATGTTTTTCAACGGGATAATGGCTCATAAATTTGTCGGCCTTGTCAGGATACTAGTTTGTGTTTGTGTCAAAGGCACTATTTAAGCAACTAGGGACTTTTGTGTGAGCTTTGGGTCTTGTTAGCATGGAAGTACCTATGGTATAAAGTGACCAACACAATTTTGTGAAAGAGGACGAGAGTACGAGACCAACGCGATTTTTATTCCGCTGTGTAGCTAATTTTGTATTTTTGTTCATCTGCTCAAAGAACATGCCAGCACCCAATATGAGAATAACTTGCAGTACAATAATAAATGCTTGTGTGTGTTCCTTTCTTGAGAAAGAGGAGTGCCTTTTACTTCTAGGATCTTAGTGAACAATTCGTGTAGATGAAAATACAGGCCATGTTGTCAAGAGGCAACTTTACACGCTATATTTTTCGGATTAAATAGGCCATATTGTTGCTATAAGGCCAAATCCATGTTGACCATTGAACTTGTCTCAATTTTTTTTTCAATAGAACATTGATGAGAGTTAATATACATACCCTCTCTCCACACTCACACTTGCTCTGGCATTACCTTCATAAGGAATTGCCCTAATTTACTCTTGCTGTAAATGGTGAATGACATTCTTCCTACTATTACGTTGTGTGGGTTTAAAGCATTACTTGGTCTTCAATCGTTACCTTTAGGGATGTAGTTCATCGTATATGACTCCCTTGCCCAGTACCTATGAACTCCCCTCCCTCTTTAATTTCTCTGCAATAACTGGATTAAAAAGAACTATGAAAACTCATTTGAGATGAATGCTTTATTAATTAAGTTGAGTTATAATGGAAGGAAAAAGAAATACATTTCCTCAATTTGTTAATCTGAGAAGTTAAATGAGTCTTAAATGAGATCATTTTGTGTAGCGTTAAATTTAGGCAAATGTTGTCTAGTAGCAGCTTCACGCAATATATCTTTGTTGGATTAAATAGGCTATTTTGTGCTATAAGGGCAAATTACGGCAACCATTAAGCTTACGTCAATTTTTTTTAACAGAACGTGGATGGGAGCTGATGCACACACCCTCTCTCTAGACTTCCACTCATGTTGTCTTCAAAAGGAATTGCCATGATGTATTCTTGCTGTAAATGGTAGATGATAGTTTTCCTAGTAATACTTGGGTCAGTTTAAGGCGTTAGCAGGTCTTCAATCTTTACCTTTGTGGAAGTAGTTTATCTTATACAAGTCCCTTGCTTGGTACATATGAGCTCCCCCCTTCCTTGATTGCTACGACTTATATTGTACAATACTTGGGATGAAAGAACTACCAAAACTCATTTGGGATCAATACTTTGTTGAGTTGAGTTGGAAATTGGAATGCAAGGAAAAAGAAATGCATTTTCTCAGTTTGCTACTCAGAGAAGTTAAGTGAGTCTTTAAATGAGATCATTTTGTCTAGACTTAAATTTAGGCAAATGTTGTTGAGTAGCAGCTTCATGAAGTATATATGTAGGGTTAAATAGGCTATATTGTTGTTATGAGCGCAAACATATTGCATGAAGTGTATCTGTCAGATTAAATAGGCTATATTGTTGCTATAAGGAAAAATTTATTGCACCAGTAAACTTAACTCAATTTCTTTTAATAGAACATGGATGAGAGTTGATGCACACGCTCTCTCTTTACACTCACACGGTCTTCAAAAGGAATTGTCACAATTTACGCTTGTTGTAAGCGGTAGAGTCCAAGGGCCATTGGCCTTGGCCTTGCGGTATCTGTGTTACCAGCAGATCCCAGCCTCCTTGAGGTCTAGGGTTCAAACCTCACCAAAGGTGAGGAAGGTGTGTGAGTATTTGCGGTATATTATATATACACTTTAAGAAAATGGTGGATGATGATCATCTTAGAATTATGGGGTGTCCATTTAAAGCATTAGTGGGCCTTCAACCTTTACCTTATGGAAGTAGTGTGTCTTTTACACGCTCTCTCACTTGGTACCTATGAGCTCCCTTCCCCTCTCTTTAATTGCTAAAAAGCGTATTATGCATTAAACTAAATGAAAGGACTACCACAACTCATTTGTGATGAACTATTTGTTAACTTGAGTTGTAAATGGAAGGAAAAAATAAATAGTTGTCTCAATTTGTTAAGTTGAGAAGTTACGCAAGTCTTTAAATGTGTTCATATGTCGGCTTGATGACGTCGTCACATTCCTTGTAAACTATATGAAGTCAAAAGGGCACCATCATTACTAAGTACCAGATTGCTTATGGAGAGTGAGATCATTAAATTTAGGCTCACAAGCTTAAGAATTAGTGCCTTCTGACATCTAAAACTTTTGCCTAACGTTATTTATAGCTATGAACTCGTGGGTTCATCACAGTTAAATTGAAGGTGATTTCTATCATTTTATGTTTCTTTGATAAGTTTATGTATTACAGCTTGTTGCTCCAACAACATTTGTTAGCTGTGATTAGGTTCCCACTAACATGCACGTGTGCAAACAAATATGTAATAAAGATGAAATGATTGTTGCAATTCAGTTCATTGGAAATCACTAAATATAAACGGTCATAAAAGAAAAGTTCTAACGTTTTACAAATAAGTTGTCAGGTTAAATTGAACTGTTGGTGTTGTCACAGTTAAATTGAAGTAATTTCTATATATTTTATGTTTCATTGACGAGTATATGTATTATAGCTTGTTGCTCTAACAAGGTTTGTTTAGCTTTGAATAGGTTCCTTTTAATATGCATATCTGCAGAAAAATGCTGATTAAACTTGGAATGATTGTTGATATTCAAGTATATGGAAATCAATAAATCCTGATCCCTAATTTATAATGGTCATAACAGAAAAGTGAGAACTTTTATGAAAAGTCATCATGTTTATGTCTCTTTTCCTAAAAGGCACACAACTCTTGACCGTCTATTTCTTTAATGATCTTTGTTTACTTGTTCATGCTTTAAGATCTTATTCCGTTGGCATATTTCTGCCATAGTTGAAATTTTACATGGGGGAGCTTTGTCGTTCTTGAAGTGAAATAATTAGTTTTTGTTATATGACATGCATCAGCTAGTGTTGGGAAATACATTTGTATACTTCAATTCCTCTTCCTTGCTACTCAAAGTGGTGATTAGGTCATAGTATCCCACCTTAAGATGTGAAGAAGATGTCCTCATGTAACTTCTTTAAAGAGTATGCTTTTATATATTTAAATTTCTGACCTCAGGACTTGGTTGGTTATGGTGTAGCTGTTGTTGATTTTGAAAGTCTTACTTTGAGGGCTCATGTTAGAATCCTGCAGGTCCTATCAACATTTTAGGAGCCACTCATGCTAGCCAGAAGGCCTAAATTTGCCTGGTTAATATGGAGGGGGCATTTTGCATGGGCCCTGTGGACTAGTTGGTCAAAAGTGTCGGGGGGGGGGGGGGAGTGTGTGTGGATTTTAGAACCAGAAGTACGTTAACAAGTACCTAGGTCCTGTGCGACAGCTCTCAAGCCAACACCTAATCAAGTCCTGCCTCCAGTAGCTGCTTTCTGTTTTTCTCTGAATAGGTCGTCTCCCTTCAGTATGTGTGGGGCTCAACAACAATGGTGAGTTGTTGGGTGATAAATAAAGCTTAGGAGTTGTGTGGATTCATAAAAGGATGCTGCTACCTACTAGGCTTCCACTTATAGGGAGTTGAGGTAGTAGTGCACAAACTATAACAACAAAAATGAAACTGAAAAGATGGTAACCATTATTTAGTGTACCAAGCATCCCAACAGTTCTATCCAGCCTTGTCAATTGTCATATCTTCGCTTCCTGATATTATCACTCTATTGGCCCATGGAGGTTTTACAATACTCAGTGATCAAAAATCAATCTCTCAATTTCCAGTTATGTGTTGGATCTTGTTTGGCAGTCTTTAAATTATATGTATCAGTTCAATGTCCTTAGCATAGTTGTCAGGCACGCCTAGTCTCTGAGGCTCATAAGGCTCAAAGTCTTGGGCTTTTTTCAAGTCGAGGCTCAGCGTATTCATGAGGCTCACTAAGGCACTACGCCTTGGCTGAGGCGCCTTGTGGGCCTAGGTGCGCCTCATAAGGAGTTACAATATACCTAGTTAAACCCTAAGATTAAATAAGTTCTCTCATCTTCTCATCTCCTAAATTTCTTAGAAAAAGCGTTATTAAATAGATGACATAAGTCAAACCCTAATGTTACATACTAAGTCCTTAGAACTTCAAGCCTCCTTCTCTATAAATACAAGACCTTAAAATTTCTCCTTCAGGGCTCATGCTTTAAACCCTTTTGCCTCTATCGAAGTATTGTTGGTTGCTGCATTGGAGACTTGTTGTGTGTAACTGTGTGTGAGTGGTGTGTGTGTGTGTATACACTGATAAGATGCGCCTCGCATTCCTGAGGCCCGCGCCTCGCATTCCTGAGTCCCGCGCCTCACGTCTAGGCCCCAGGACCCCGTTGCACCTAAGTGCGCCTTGAGCCATTAACAACTTTGGTCCTTAGGAGGTGGATGCTTTTCTGCTCATTAAAACAAATGAATCTTGTGTATTCCTCAAAGCCCTATCCATGTTAAACCCTGAATCTTTCTAGTTTCCAGGGAGGTACCCTCCCAAAGGAACAAGAGAACACAAGTATGTCTGCTCAAATGAACTCTATTGCATTCAATGCTTGATGGTTGGGAATGACATGGTTCCTCCCCCCCCCCAAAATCTTATAGTGTGCTTAACTACCAAAATGAGCAGCTGGGATTAAACTAATAGATGACTATGTCACACCAAGGTGGATGCTACTTTCTAGACTATTTAAAATTGCAGTTGTGTTAACAGCTGATCTCAAACATCCTTCTTTGACACGTTTTTATTTCCCCACATAAGTGACACTACCAATCATCTTGAATGGCTGTAAATCACAGTTCTATGCATTCTTCATGTCCTGAACTGCTTGTTCTCTGAGTTATTCAAAAAAGATGTCTGTAATGTCATTACATATTTTGATTAGAATGTTAAGGGATCATTGGAAATGGCATGCATAAGTGTTGCAGTCACAAACTCGTAAGAATATAAATTTAGGTAGCAGTGTGCCTTTTCGTGAAAGGTTCAGACTGTCTCCGACTTACTTTTAAATTCTTGTTGAACTTGGGGTTCTCTAAATATATGTTTGCTGTTTCTTTTAGTGGATTAAAAGAAAGCGTTGTTTAAGTGCTTTCTAATAAGGAAGTTTTGAATGACGGAAGGTATATATGCTTTATTTTTCTTCCTGATCATTTTCACTTGATAAGTATGGTTTGGATGCTATGTTTGCAGAGGCAGAGGACCGGATTATAATCGATGCCCATGCAATCCATGGAAACAAATGGGCATCCATCGCAAAACTGTTGCGAGGTAGAACAGATAATGCAATCAAGAATCACTGGAATTCAACACTAAGGCGCAGATGCATCCAGCCTAACGCTTATATGTGCGTTTCTAGTACTAAGATGGAGATTGAAAACAACCACTTTGACGGACCAAAGACAACCTCAGAGGACACTTTATCTAATGGGAACATGAATCAAGTAAAAGCTCCAGAGTACGAAGATGGCAGTGCAATGGAGGCTGAAGATATACCCTCGGCAGATCAGAATGAGCATGTCCCTGAAACCCTTCCGCATCCAACCCCACATTATGGAGCATTTACCGTTTATACCCCTCCAAATGGAAGAATTCAAAATGGGCAATTGAGAAGTGTTGTACCCAGAGAGGGACCTTTAATACAGGCCTCTAAACCAGAAAGTATGGGGTTTAAGTTTCTAAAAGGTTATTGCAGTGAGTGTGTGACTCCATCAAGGTGTGGCCATGGTTGCTGTTCTGGTCCTGAAAATAATGCTGCTTCCCATTCGTTATTGGGTCCTGAGTTCGTTGAATATGAAGAACTTTCTCCTTTGGCAAGCCAAGAATTGGCCGCCATCGCTACAGATCTAAACGCCATTGCTTGGATCAAAAGCGGGCTAGAAAATCCTGGAGCCAGCCAACGACAAACTCCTCATATCTCCCTCCCAACTTTTGCATAGAAGAAGTCCAAAGAAATGTTGAGGTATTAATCAAAATTTACCCTTTTTTTCCTGAATATATATATATATATATAGTTATAGTAGTTATAGGCTTACGAAACCCAAGCTTATAGAGTTCCCCTTTGGTTCATGATATGAAATAGTATCTGAATTGCATTTGAACCAACTCAATTGCATTATGAAGGTTTTTAACTTATGCCTGAATATGATGTCACATGATGCTGAATGAAATGTGTTTGTTGAGATTTAAACAAAAACAGAAGGTTGTTGGGATGTATTTTGGCCAGAATCAAGGAAATTGTTACAGAGGGAAAGAGACAGATCTCCTTACACGCTGAGATCGGTTCAATCCAATTATTACGCACCCTTCTTTGTCTTTATTCCAAAGACTCCGTTTTTTCCTCTTTTCATATGGTAAATATTTCTCGGGAAAATTGAAATGATTGAATGTTAAACCTGAAATAATTGAAACCATCATGTCGACGCCATTATTTGATTCTGGTTTTCTGTACAAAGAAACACCGTCATTCTTTTGCTAACGCTCTACTTGTGAAACAACCAATGAAAACAAGTTTGTATGATTTATCAAGTCTCTTTGATTATCTTATAAAAACAATATTCTATGGGTTTATTATATATGGGGTCCAATCAGACCAAGTTATTGGTACATTTGTTTGCAGTAAAGGGTTACTTTAACATATTTAATTCATAAAGAAGTTGTTTGGCATATAACTTTTAAAATATATAAAAACCCAATATTCAACAATAAAGGTGGTGCTTGATTGGTTTGAGTTTGGCTCTAAAGGTCAAAAGTGTCATGAGGTCCCAGGTTCAAATCCAAGGAATAACAAAAATTCCCTTGTGATCACGGAGGTTCAAATGCGGTGATTTCGGTCTACCTGCAAAGCAAGTGGTTGTCTTCGAATTAGTCGGCTCGTAAAACGGGTTGGATATTCAGGGTAATAAAAAAAAACCCAATGTTATTGGTGTTATATAATGTACTTGGAAACCAAAATTAGAATAAAAAGGGAAGTAGTATTATGGGCAATAAAATGGTAGAAGTGAAAGGTGAATGGGTTCACATGGCACCAGCCACAATAATTATACTATTTCAGCTCCTACTGTCCTGTTTTTCTGACTCCTGCCATGTGTTATGTTGTCTTGTGCCATTTCTCGAGATTTCAAATTTTATATATGTTTTTATTTATATTTCGATTAATCCAAATAAATCATTTCGTATTATTTAGAAGTTGTTTTAAGCGGGATATGGATGATTATCGCTAATGACCGATGACCATTATCCGTTTTTACTTGAATGGTTTATGTTAGGTCAGACGTGATGAAATTTGATATAATTGAGCGGATATATGACGATTTCAAATGGTCGGATTAGGATCGTATAAACGACTAGGCAAGTTTCCTTTGAGATTAGATGTTATAGAGACAGTCATATGGACAAATGTGAAGCTGTTCATGATCTAACGTATATAAGACTACCAACTATTCAGATGGTGGTACGTGATATTGATGGATCACCATCATAGAAATTCGAGAATAATTTTGCAATTGCGGAAGGATGAAGTAATATCATCCCGTACGCATTGAGTTAGAAACCAACCGACCTTAGTCGTAAATTGTTTTTTACGAAACCGATACATTGGAGATGCAATATAAATCAAAACAATGTTTTGTAATACCCTAATTCTAATCTAAAATATTTGACTTGATAATTTTCAACACGTGCATGCAAATACACAGATATATAGTTCGGTTACGTCAAGAAAAATGGTTTTTTGTAAAATGTGAGAATAATAAACCTTCATATATTTCATCTACTTTTATTTACCTATTTTATCATCATTGATGAAATTTTAACAAATTCATGCATCTAAAAGTTACTAAATGTATGTAAAAGTTCATGACAATGACTAAAAATGAAGATAAAGGTCAATGACGTCAGTTAAAGGTAATTGGACATAGTTAAATACTTGAAGTGATATCAAAAAATCAACTCATCCAAAAGATCATAAATTTCTCACCATAACCGTTATTTTCACACAATCACATACATATCCGGACCATTGATCACCTTTAATCTCAAACCCACTCATGAATCTCATTTGATACGAGGATTGATTCGGTGCATCTCGGTGTATCTCATCCTAATGTGTGTATCCAAGGGTGGTGATATTTTATTACACTTCTCACTGGAACCCAACCCTAAACACACACATATATGTATATATATATATATATATATATATATTAAAAAAATCAAAGGAAAACAAAAAAATAGGAATTTTGATGGTCAAACAAAAACTGAAAAAGATGAAGCCTCAATGTCAATAGTCGACATTACTGGTGAGATTGTGACAGGAATAAGTGGCCAAACTCGATGTTACATCTTTGGGTAAACGCTCCAAAAAACATGTCTTCTACCAAATCAATATTTCACTATCTAATAATTTTTATTTTCCATTATTTTCCAAATACTAAAAATTATATATATATATATATATATATATTCACATATGTTATATGCATTGCTTGGATGTTCACATATATTCACAAAAGTACACTTGGTTGTTCCATCTTTTCATATGTTAACAGACAATGAATGTTGTACACATATTGAAGACATGTTCACTTATGAAATGAAATTTTCGTTCAACCATTACTATCATTCAATAAATCAAACTCAATTGTTTGATGTGAAGAATGATGTTGATTACATATATGTAAAATATGACCTTCCAAGTTACTTATTCTACTAAAACATCAAACGAATAATTTGGGGGGAAAATGAACACAATAATTTAGCTAGGATCATGGGATGAGAAGTTTTTGTAACAACTCATTAATACAAACTAGAAGCGTACTCGCGCAATGCAGCGAGATACATCATGATTTTAATATTTCATTTTATTTTTTATCTTAGTCGATGTTATAATATGTCTTTATGTGATTTTGAGAAAGCGATGATGTTTTTATTTTTGAATAAAATATATGTTTGAAGATATCATAAAAAATTGACAAAAATATATCGATATTAGTATCAAATTAACTATTTGAAATTTCTTATTTTTTGTGTAATTTTTTAATTTAATTTTTTATAATTTAATTTATGTACAATAACGAAGTAATTTATATTTGGGTTAATAATATAAATTTTTTATAAAGATAATAATTATTTATTTTGTTAGAACTCGATAATTATTCTAATTATATTTTAGATTTTTTATATTTTAAAATGAGATGTTCATCCTCTATTTGACTATGTTTATTCACAATTATTTATACGAATTCAAACATCGAGCTTCTATAAGTTGTATTTATGCATAATTACTTGTAATTTTGAATTTTAAGTAAATATGCATCAATATACAGTACTTTATGCATAACAAAAATATATCGATATTCGTATCAAATTAACTATTTAAAATTCCTCATTTTTGTGTAATTTTTTAATTCAATTTTTTATTATAATTTAATTTAKGTACAATAACGAAGTAATTTATATTTGGTTTAATAATATAATTTTTTTATAAAGATAATAATTAATTATTTTGTTAGAACTCGATAATTATC